ACTTGCATTTTCGGGTCACGGACACCCGGTTCATATAAAAACTTATATTTCTTTATTTTTTAAAAAAAAACACATAAGAAATGCATAAACACAAAAATCAGTGATTTGAAGTTAGCTTTAGGATAAATAATATATATATATATATATATATATATATATATATATATATATATACAAAATAATATTAAAAATATCAATATTGATTGTGATATTTTTTTTAATCTCATATGACAATTTAATAAAAAAACTTATTTGAAAATTTTAAAACTTAAAATTACATAATAAAAATCTAAGAAATATTTAGGGATATAAATTTAATTTTAAGATAAAACCGGATCGAGTTTAGGTTCGGCCAATTGGGTTTTTAGGTTTGACTCGACTCGACCCGACAGGCAGGGTCAACTGGATCGGATATTTTTTGAACACCCGCAATTGAAATGCTTTTGTTTATACTGTGTGGATTAAAGGGGATGCTATACATTTTAGGGGCGGTCTCGTAATGGTAGTAAAATTCTTGGTTGTATAAAGAGTATAGTTCGCATTCATTTGCATAACAAATGTATAGATAGGAGGACCTAACTAATGTTAGGCTTGTATAGTTTGGGGTTAGAGTGAACTTGTTAGGGACTTGTTTTTATACTTGGGAAGCATATTATTCAAAAAAAAAATTGATCGATATGATGTTTACTAGATTCAATTCTCGACTTGTCCCGACTTATTATAGATCTAGACTAAGCTTAAATTGAAATGACCTTATCCAAATCAAACCAAAATTGAATACAATTAAAACTCGAAATATTCCGATCTAAACGACACGACTATCATTTATATTTATAATTTTAAATGAATCCGGTGTCATAGTAAATTAATTGGTAAATTAATTTTATAAAAATGATAAGTGAAACTAGAATGAGTACTAAGACATTATATCTTTTTAAATATCACGAGTGAAGCTTTCAGGACCTTCAAAAATAAATTAGAATTTTTAGAATATCACGAGTTGAGTTCTTAGGACTTTAAAAAGCCAATAAAGTTAACGACACACTAATAGAAGGATCAAAATGGAATGGTACTAATAATTTTAGGACTTATATAGAACTTTTAAAAGTTTATTGATCAATTTAGAATGAATGTCATAGTTTGAGGATTGATATATAATGTTTTAAAATTTAGAGACTAAGTCATACTGTGAGTCATAGTTTAGAGACCTAATGTGAAATTAACTCATTATACAATTAAGATGAAAATTCGCTTTGAAATTAACTTGGGCTTATTTTTCCCTTCATTTGTTGTTGCCGCCATTGTTAAGCTCTCTTTTTCTTCACAGATTTCATTTGTTTTCAACAAGAAACGAGTCCATGGAGAACGGAGAAATCCCAGAAAACGCTAATGAACGTATGCTTTCCCCCCCCTTTTTTTAGTCAAATTTTGTGGGTTTTTTTGGTTTACTTTATTAATCTTCTTCATTTCTGTTCAGATTGTCCGGGTCCTCAATCGGATTCCGCCGGTAAATCCGATGCATGCCAAGGTTGCCCTAATCAAGAAGTTTGTGCCACCGCCCCAAAGGGCCCTGACCCAGGTTTCTTCTTCGCCATATTTCCATTTATATTTTTTGGGTTTAGTTTTTTATTTTATATTTCATTAAGTATTACTTCCATGGTGATTTTGTGAACTGTTTTTTGATGGCTAGAATTAGAATTTTAGGTTTCTTTAGCCTTTGAAGCTTTGCTAGTGAAGCTAGCTGCGCTCGACTAACCTTTATAGTTCTTATACAATCGATTGGAGCTAAAATTTGGTAGTAAATATTAATGGAGGTGGAACTTTCATGTTTTGAACGATAAGTTAGAGGAGGTGTGAGTAAAACTCGACTTGACTCGAAAAATTGATATTTTCAACTAAACTCGACTCTAAAAAAACTCACTCGAATTAATTTTCAATCATAATTTTATAAACTTGTCTCAACTTGAAAATTTTTTAAATTCGAGTCAAGTTATAAAATAGAACTCGTATAATAACTTGAATTAATGAATTGATTTTCAAGTTTGAGTCTAGTCCCTCTACTATGTATGATATACAGTGACGGATGCAAGGCTAGTCTAGGGTGGTCACAAATTTCTTTATGTTAGTTTTCCATTTTACCATTAGTGCCCACCCTGAAATTTTCTATTATTAATATATATGTGCCCACCCTCAAATATATTTTTTGATATATATATATATATATATATATATATATATATATGTATATGGTTATAGAAATTTTTTTAAATTGGAACCAAATATTATCATAATATTATAAATATTTTCCATTAAATTTAAATAGAATCTCGAATAACATGACTCGACTCAAAAAATTTCAAATTCAAGAGAGTTATAAAATAGGACTTGTCAACTCGAATAACTCGAAATTTTTTGACTCAACTGGATTGAACGCTTACCCCTAAGTTAATGCCTAAAAACTTCTAGTGTTTTATGTTAAGGAAGCTTACTCATGATGCGGGGTTGGATAGCCTGGTACCTTAACAGGACTTTTGAGTAGGAAACTGAAACTTCTAGCATATGATTTTGAATATCGAGTCTTTGAAGTTCTTATGCTATGATTGTAGTTCAATGGTTCCCTAGTATCAAGTTGCGGAGGGTTTTGACTTTTGACTCGAGTTATTATCCTTTAACTGTCCGGTGTTTCGGTTGTCCTTGTAATTTCTTTTAATTATTTTCCTGTGCTTGTTTTAAATTTTGATAATGATCTGTATGGAAATGTTCTAGTATTGCTTTAACTGTCTAAAATTTGGCAGCGTTAATGATGCATTCTGATCTGTTAAGTTAGATTTTACCTCATATCTTACTGATTAAATTGATTTGCTGTGAGCATATCTGCCATAAATGAGAACTGATGAATGCTTTTGGGCTATGTAATATGCATCTCTCCATTTTGGTTTTTTGTTTTGCCTTTTCCTTTTCCACATGTTTAAATTTGTATTGGGCGTATTTCGGATTGATTATATTCGCATGGCTAAACACACATTCATGATGGTTTATGAAACTTAAAAGTTCTTTTGCTTCTGTTTGGCTTGACCCTGTTATCCGGAATATGAGTATATATCTGACATATAAAATCCATTGCATTCTGCAGATTTGGTTGCAATTGCAGAGAGAATGGCTACTGTTAAGCATAAGATACTAGTTTTATCAGGGAAAGGAGGAGTTGGCAAAAGCACTTTTTCTGCCCAACTCTCGTTTGCACTAGCAGCTAAGGATTTCCAGGTGGGTCTGCTGGACATTGATATTTGCGGCCCAAGTATTCCGAAAATGCTTGGCTTAGAAGGTCAAGACATTCACCAGAGCAACCTTGGCTGGTCTCCAGTTTATGTTGAGTCCAACCTTGGGGTAATGTCGATTGGATTCATGCTTCCCAATCCTGACGAGGCTGTCATTTGGAGAGGACCGCGTAAAAACGGGCTCATCAAACAATTCCTCAAAGATGTATACTGGGGAGAGCTCGATTTTCTGGTTGTTGATGCCCCTCCCGGGACCTCTGATGAGCACATCTCAATTGTTCAGTTCCTACAGGCTACTGGAATAGATGGAGCAATCATCGTCACTACACCACAGCAAGTCTCTTTGATTGATGTGCGTAAAGAAGTTAGTTTCTGCAAAAAAGTTGGAGTACCCGTTCTTGGTGTTGTCGAGAACATGAGTGGTTTGTGTCAGCCACTGAAAGATTTCAGGTTTTTGAAGACAACAGAAAATGGCGAACATACCGATCTCACAGAGAAGGTCATCGAGTATATGAGGGAGAAAGCACCTGAAATGCTGGATCTCGTCGCTAGCAGTGAAGTCTTTGACAGCAGCGGTGGTGGTGCAGCGAAAATGTGTACGGAAATGGAAGTACCATTCCTCGGAAAGGTGCCATTGGATCCACAGCTTTGCAAGGCAGCTGAAGAAGGCAAATCTTGTTTTGCTGAACAGAAGTGTCTTACTAGTGCTCCTGCATTGAAGAATATCGTTGAGAAACTGCTGACAAATTATTGGCGTGAAGAAATGCATGTGGAACAGTAGCCTAGGGTGAACTAATGTTCAGCTTTACTTGGAGATCTGTGTTACAGAAATTTGTTTGCATGTTATGTAATCTTATAATTATTCCCAAGTTTTAGGAATTTTCTGCGAGATACAATACTTGAGAAGTTCAATACTCTCTGTGTCTGAACACTGAAAATTTACAAATTAGGACTGTAATCTATTTGTTAAATCTGATTTTATTCTTAAGTTTATGGAGAGTTGGATTGATGTCAATAACCTTTGCAGTTGCTTTGAGGAGTCTTGTGTAAATGGTTATACGCTCTTATTCGACATGAAAAGCTTCGTCATTCAGTTTACGGCAGGTTATCAGTCAACAGATAAACTCGAGCAGGCTGATCATGGTGGTGGTGACCCTATGCTACCGCTTGTGAAGTTCCTCTGAGGCATGAAGAGAACCCCTGGAGAGGATACTTTCTGTTTTTAATCCACTTCTAGGGTTTCTTTCTCTCCTTTTCACTTTTCTTTTTGGAACTCGATCAAAACTTCGAATTGTGAGACAAGTCTACCATGGAGCAATTCATATCTGGTCAGTTTTTGTTGCTTTGCTTCATTTCCTGGTTTTATAGTGTGATTGTGGATTGTTTTTACTTGCTTTAGTTAAACCTGTCTTTGCAAAAGCTCGACTACTCAAATATCAAGCTCGATTCTAAGCTCAAACTCGCCTTATATAACAAATAGCATTACTCAGAGTTCAATATTTAACTCAAAAATTTGATCATCATTTTCTATGATTGAGTTTGGTTCAAGATATAATCAAACTACTTTTGATCATTCGTATGGTTGAGCTAGGTTCAAGATATAATCAAACTACTCGAGCTTTGATTAGGATTGCAAACTGCTTGAATCGGGTATCAAGGTGCTCGATTTGACTCGTGCAAGCTGCTCGAGACCTAGCTCAACTCAATAATTATCGAATTTAACACCAATAATGATTCAATTAATTCCTCTGAAGAATTCTACTAGCAATAAGAAACCAAACACACGTGTAGGATTAAGGAGTAGCTGAATTTACTTACGATCTAACTCTAATATCCATATGATTCCCAACTGGACATCCAAAAACCAGACATGTTCTTCAAGAACTTTATTTATACTCTTTTTTCCTAGACATAAGACACTTTCGAACATCAGAAAGTACCCATCGACGAAGCAAGAGATATTTCGAATTCACAACCGGCTGAGCCTCCTTCCATGTCATAAGTTCCTGCAACCACCGGAAGTAAAAACGAAAGCATAACCAGTGAAACAGCGGTAAAATACCATAGTCGATCTATCACATTAAGGCCTGAATCATGAAATGAAGTATTAGACATACTGCCTTCCATGAAGGTACGTACCATAATCACGTGAGCCTACATCAAGTTTAGGAGGGCAGATGACTGCAGGCATTCTTACTTCTATGCTACTAGGATTCACTCAAGGAAAAACACATGCCATTCGTCGGTTATCAGGGTATCAAACGGAATATTCAGGTATAGTAGTTGGTTAACACAGGAGATTATCGAGTAATGATAATAAGCAAGGAAGTAATGATCACTGCAAATGACATGAACCATATATAGGAATTGCAAAAGGAACTTACCATCATGGCCTAGATGGATTCATTGCGAGAAGCATGCTTTGCCCACCGGGAATGTATGTCACATTAGGTGTCCTAGCAAGAGTTGCAGCGATTTCTCTCGATGCCTCGATCCTCCTCAGCTCAATCAGCCCCATACCAGCAGTCTGGGTGGCTTCAGAAATTAACTTTGCAGCCTCACTTTCACCTTCTGCTCGGATAACAGCAGCACGCCTCTCCTGGTCAGCTTTCATCACAACGTACCTCGACCGCTCCGCCTCCTGTTGTGCCACCTGCTTCTGCTCTCTCGAGAATTCAGCACCATACGACAAGTGCGTAATCGCAACATCGGCTAGCTCGATGTTAAAGTCCCTGGCACGCTGTGTTAGTGAACTCCGGACCAATGCCGACACTTGGGGACGCTCGGTGAGAAGCTGATCGGCATTGAACTGTGCAACCACAGCTTTCAGCACCTCATTTCCAATGGAGGGAAGAACCTTCTCATCGTACTCAAGACCGAGGCGTTGATAGATTTCAGGAAGCTTATCCTCCTTTTTTCACAAACAAACAACAAGATTAAACGTTAATCTTCAAAGAACAAACTAAACCCCTAACGTTCATCATACATACATACAAGGATTTAAATTGCAGTTGCTTTATTGCGGTTGTGGATATAACGGCTGCTATTGCGGTCATTGCAGATATCGCGGTTGTTATTTTTTTCTAAATGAGTTGATTTTAAAACAAACTGTTTTTTTTAAATTAAAATAGCGGAATAGCAGTCCGTGATTGGTCGCTATCCACTAAATTGTGGCCGCAACCCATCGCTATTGGTGGGATTTCACTTTACACCATTATTTTCCAGTGTACTGCTATCCAGCCGCTATTTGAATCAGACATAGGTTCATCAGTACATACATTCATTCATCAGGCATACAAACATTCAAACATTCATCAGGCATGCATATATACATACATTCATCAGGCATACATACATTCAAACATTCATCAGGCATACATACATACATTCAAACATACATTGGGCATACATACACATAACCCATTTCATAATTTCATCCAAAAATGATATTTGTAATAAAAATTTAGTTCTTACGTAAAAAAGAAAACTCATTTACCTTAGGTTTAGAAAGGACACGAAGAGTAAGATTAACCATCTGGAGATCCTTAGTTCCAGAAATGGAGGAGAATGTGTGAGGCTTCATACGAATATCATAGATGAAGGGCTTTTGAAGCCATGGAACCAAAAAGTGAGTCCCTTCCCCCTCCGTTTTATCCAAGACTCCCCTCAAACGATCAAAGATCACAGCTCTTTCGCCACCGTCCACCGTGTACAGTGAGGCGTTGAGGACGGTCGCGGCAGCTCCGAGACCAAAGGCGGCGCGTGCGACGTTGGTTAAGAAAGAAACCGCCGCTTGATTGCTTCCCATTTTCTTGGAGTTCCTGATTTGGTTTCACTAACGAGGGTTTTCGATTTCTCTGGGAAAATGAGGGATTTTGGTAGGGGTTTATGTATATCACGGAACTTGGATGGAGTTGAAAATTTATAGGTTAAAGTGTACTAGAGATCACTGAATTATGTCAAAATAATTTTTTTGTCACAAAAGTTTTAAATGTTATAAAATTGTCATTATATTATCAAAACTATTACAAAATAGTCCCTATTATATATTTATTTGAATAATGCGGAATGATTACAACTTTACAAGTATATGTTTGAAAAATTTTGGCAAGAAAGGTATCAATGTCTTTGTACTTCAAAAGAAAAAACAATATAATATGGCTCTCTTATTATTTTTTTCTCTCACTATGGCCTTTCAACTCAAAAAATAAGTTCAATGTGGCTATTTTACCAATATTTTTCGTCATCAACAATTACAATACTGATGTATCAATTCACGGTACTAACGTGACGACCCACAATGTTGATGTGGTAGTCCGTGATAGTTGATGACATTGCAGATAAGATGGGATATAGACTAACTTGATAACTCAAACATGGTAGATGGGCTGTTACATCAATGCCGTTAACTACAATGTCAGCACCGTAACAGTCAAAAGAAAAAAAGTTGGTCAATGACCACATTAGGTTTGTTTTATGAGTTAGAGAGCCACATTGAGAGAGAAAAAAAATATGATAGTCATATTATTTTTTCAAAAGTATAAGGATCTCTTATGTATTTTTACCTAATATTTTTAATCAATTGACAACACATATATCCTACTATGTAGTTGCTCTAATTTGTATCCTCTAAGAAGAAAATATTATCTTTTATCATCAAGATCACTCAATAAGCTTAGTTACTATTATATTGTAAAGCATAATAAAATTGATATATTTAATGAACATTTTTTAATTACTCCATTAAATAAATTTAATAATAATTTATAACGGTGTGGTATATTTGATTATTTTATAACATTTAAATGTTTTCTTACCAAAAAAATATTTCAACATAGTTAAGTGACCTTTAGTATTCTTTACATTTATCAAAACTATTACAAAATAGTCACCATTATATATGTCTTTGAATAATCTGAAGTGATTATAATGCATTATTTTTTAAAAATACTTTTAACTAATTAACAACACACATCTTACAAATGCAATTATTTAAACTTAGATTCTCTAAGGAGAATAACATTATATTTTATCATTATGGTCAGTCAAAGAGTCCAGTCCCTATTATATTATAAAATATAATAAACTTCATATATTTAAGGGTAAATTATACATTTAGTACATAAACTATTAATTTTAGTTTATTTTAATATCTAAACTTTTAATTTTTTTTAAAACCATACGTAAATTTTAGTACCCACCGTTAAATATTGTAGTTTTTATTTCATTTTATTATCCCGTTCAAAATTCAACATTAAGTTTTGAATTTTTTTTGAAGTTTAGGTACTAAAATAGACCAGAATTAATAGTTAAGTTGTTAATGGCGGTTACTAAAATGAAATAAAAACTAAACGTTAGATATTATTTTGAAAAAATTAAAAGTTCTTCTACTAAAATAGACCAAACTGATAGTTTAGTTACTAAATGCATAATTTAAAATATTTAATGAATATTTTATAATAATTGATAATTTTAATAATTATTTTATAATAGTTTGATAGATTTAATTATTTTGTAAATTTTGGGAAGTTGAATGACTATTTTATAATATTTAAATGTTCTCCTCACAAAGATCATTTTAAAATAAATAAGGGGCCTCTAACATACTTTACCCCAAATATCTAAAAGGGGCTAAATGAACCCAAGTTAGCCCAAACCTAATTTTATCATCTTCTTCCTCTTGAAGCTCTAGCATTTCAGAAAACCCTAAATTCTTACACTTGAATATCACAAAGGGAGGCACAAGATTTCAACTTTACGAGTTCTCGAGAAAGGTAACCTTTCTTTATATATTGTACCAGTAATTTTCCTAGAATCCAAACAGAAAAAGCTTCTATTGTACCATAAGTTTTACTGGGGTTTTCCTGGTTTTCCGTTGAATGGATTTAGTTCTTCATAGTTTTTTTATAAGTTTCATAATTGTTTGAAGAAGCTTTGGATCTTGTTTCCTTAGCATCTGGCGTTTGGAATTGAGGAAAATGTTGTGATTTCATGGATTCTGCACACACACAAAATCCTCTTTCATAGATTTAGGGTTTAGGGTTTTGATTAATTCCATCGTTTAGTGGGTTTTGATTTCATGAATGAACATTGGCCCTCTAATTGTTGATGACCATTCATAGTTGTGAATCTGGTACTTGTGGAATCGGCCGAATTCCGATATCCGACGCAGGTCATTGCATGATTTTAACCAACTCTGCGTGATGTTTACAGGGGCGAAGTCATGGCACTAGCTCGTATTGGATCGTTAAGAAGTGTCCTTATTGCCAAGGAGGCAGTTCGTGTCGGTCATCGAACATTTGCTGCTGGGGCTGGGCAAGCAGGCAGTGGTGCACCGAACAAAGATGTAGAGAGGAGGGCACTTAGACAATTCGTTTTGGGTGCAGGGAAATCTGCTGGTAGGAATTCCTCGGGGCGTATTACGGTTTTTCATCGAGGGGGTGGATCGAAGCGGTTGCAGCGAAGAATTGATCTGAAACGAAGCACTTCGTCTATGGGCATTGTGGAAAGGATAGAATATGACCCTAATCGTTCTTCTCGGATCGCGCTAGTACGGTGGATCGAGGGAGTTACGGTCTGCCAGAGGAAATTGGATACGGTAGCGGAGTTTGCTCCGCCACGCAAGATCCTCGAACCTACCACGACCACCATCCGTGGCCAATTTCCTTTCTCTTCCCTGCCCGGGATGGTGGATCAAATGAAGGTAGCTTCCTTCTCTCCAGGACCGACGACATCTTCTCTAGTGGTTGGCCCTCCCACCAGAATGTCCCCTTCGTCAAACAGCGCCTCCTATAGTAAAGATGCAGGAAGCAAAAAAACTTGTGCGAGGGACGTCTTCTTCTCCGCCCTCTCCTCTCCAAATCCCAATGGGGAGACCGCATCCCTTTCCTTTGGTAACACTTTTGGTCTCCCGAGGGTGGCAGTAGCTGGGGCAAAGCCCGCTTTCTTCGCTTCGCGAACGAGAGAGGAACTCGGAGAAAAAAACACGTTCTCTCTTAGCGATGTCCGAAAGTGGAGACCGAATAGCGTTCTTTGGACACACAGGATCAAACGCAAAGCAGCGCTTTCTTGGCAGAGCATTAGCCAGCAAGATACTCTAGGGCCTGTTGGAGCCACCGAGCATAACGAATCGAAGCCGAAGACGGAAGGTAAGCCGATAGTCGAAGCCGATCGTGCACCGGTCACTTACATAATAGCCAGTCAGCAATTAGAACCAGGCAAAATGGTGATGAACTGCGACTGGTCCAGACCCTCAAAAGTCTTTGGCAAGCCCAAGGCAATAGTCCGTTAACCGAGTCCGAAGGTCATTCGAGTTATTCGTTTTAAGTTCGAAGGTTAGTTTAATATTCGATAATTTTTAAATAAAAATGTTTAAGGTTTAAACTTGCCTAGCTGAACCAGTTTTTCAATTCTACCATGATGTAAATATAATATCTTATAAAATTAAATATATACTACCATGATGTAAATACTAATATTATATATAATATGATTATTGTTAAAAATAATAATTTTTAATGGCTTAATTTTTATTTTGGTCCTTTATTATAGTGTAATTTTCATTTTAACCCTATTATTATTTTTTTCAATCCGTTATCTCTTTAACTTCCATTTAATTATAGCTCCTTGATCATTTGTGTTAAAAACATTAAAAATAAATATTTCAAATAAAATCATAGAATTGCAAAAAATAAAAATAAAAAAAATCCAAAGATAATTGAAAATAACTCGTTTATATATTTTTTTTTTTTTTTAAATAAATTAAGCATAACTAATTTTTACTATATATAAATTTCAAAACATAAATTATATTATTTTCTTTCTTTATGATTTTATTTTTTTAAAATTAAACATTTATTACACATGGCAACTCTTGATTAGGACACGTTATATTTTTAATTGAAATAGTAAAGGGACTAGCCTGATAGACAAAATGAAAACTGAATAGGCAAATAGAATTAAAAATAATGAAAGGATTGAAGTGGAATTTTCACTATAATACCAGAGCATGTTAATGTTTTTTTTTTCTGTTGAAAAAAATAAGATCGAATCGGGTTTTATAAAGAGTGAGGCCGGGTCATGTTCGAGCTTAGGATGATAAATCTTTGATTTGACCTAACCCATGATAATAGTATAATTTTTATTTATATATTTAGAGATAATTATTATAATATTTTTTCTCTATAATTTTTTGTTTAAATTTCTATTTTTCCAAATAAAAATAAAATTTATTTTATATATTTATGTCAGATTAAATGTAGATTTTTCCTTAAAAATTAGGTTTTGAGTTATATGGGACCTTCGTAGATCTGGTTCAGGCTAAGAGGTATGCTTCTCGGGTTGGGCCAAATTGCTTGAAAACTTAACCCAAACCGACTTGTTATTATCATTACAATTATCAATTGATTAAGTAAGATGAGGTGCGGATCCTTAATCAAGATTAATTGGTCAGATCTTAAAATTTTAAATGAAGAAAATTAGGATAATCATCTCTATGACGGGCCTTTTCAGTATCTAATTCGAATGGATCATCCACTAGAACGAATATCAATAATTATATTAAAATAACTATTAGAATAATTGTTCTCATATTTTCTCATAAACTTAGAATGAAAGTCACAGTTTAAGGATGAAATTGAAATGTTCAAAAATTTAGACATCAACTTAGAATAATAGTTATAATTTTAAAACATATAACGCAATTAACTCCACTAATTATACGAAAATAACTATTATGACAAAATTTTATCGTATTTTTACACAAACTTTGTTTGAAGTTTAAATTGATTTTTTAAATAAATAAATAAATGATACATATCGATCAATACAATCAATATCAGGAATTATAGTTATGCCTAAATTTTTTATTTTTTAAAAAATAAACAACTATAGTTTTGGTCCGTTTCAATACATAAATTTTTATTTTATTTTTTCAAAATCATACCTAACATTTAGTTTTTTTATTTCATTTTAGTATCTCGTCGTTAAAAACTTAACACGTTTAATACCTAAACTATTAGTTTTGTTCCGTTTTAGTACCTAAACATTCAATTTTTTCAAAACTTAATGTTAAATTTTGAATGGGGATATTAAAATGAAACAAAAAACTAAAGTTTTTAACAATGAGTACTAAAAGGAAACAAAAAAATAAACTTTAAGTATGGTTTTAAAAAATTGAAAGTTTTGGTATTAAAATGGACTAAAATTGATAGTTTATATACTAAACGCGTAATTTACCCTTTTAGGATATTTATTGCAAATGAAGTAAATAAAGTAATAAACAAAGAAGAGTTGACTAAGGTTGCTTGGAGGATAAAGTCAACGACTTGAATTGAATTTTAGGGTTTATTCTTGAAACCCTAGGGATCCAGCTTCGTCGCCGCCGCCACCTAGGAGAGTCACTCTCGCTGTGGTCACCCATTCGAGCTCCGGCCACCATGCTTGTTACTACCAAAATGCCAATATTGCCATTGTTTCGTAATAGTAAAGAGGAGTAAGTTAAATCCAACTAAAATCAAGAAAAATCGAGACATTTAATGGAAGCAATCAAGACTTCACTTACCCTTATCTGCCCTCTGCAATGGCCTTACTGACCATACCGATCTGACCAGGCCTGCAACATGCCACCCTTGCTTTAAGCATGCAATCAAGAGAGGAAATAATAAAGAGGCAACCGATCAAACGAACGAGGTTAAAAAAAAATCTAGAGATTAAAAAAAAACGAAAAATCAACAGAAAAATAAGAGAAAAAGAATAGAGGTTCAAATAAAAAAATGGAGAAGATTTTCAAGCAAAGAAAAATACGTAAAAGGGTTTACCTTTCGTCAAATCATTAGATATGGTATTTTTCATTTAATTTAACTTAGTCCCTTGATCAAGACTTTTAATCGTTTTAATTAGGTCTTTAAATTTTACGCGCATTATATTTTAGTCATTGCTTTATATCTTATGGATTATTTACTTATTTAACCCATGTTACTTTAGATTTTAATTAAAGGGTATCATCACATCTTTGACCACTGCTTTTTGTTATTTGTTCATTTTTAGTTCCTAGATTATTAATACTTAGATTTTAGTCCTCCATGATCATTACACATTATAATATGTGATTTATGCTTTAGATCCTTTTAAGTCTATCGTATATTTGTTTTGGTCACCATTTTAGTTTAGTTATTAAATGAATATGATGGATTAATATGTTGGTCCCCATAATTTATTTCTAATTAGATTGTTGTTGTTTTATTTCAATCCTTGAACGTTTTTTTTGGGTTTTTTAGGTGTTTTGTACTTCAAATATGTATACATATAGTACAAACTTTTACAACTTATTTATTTATATATGTATAAGTTATTGGAGCATATAGCAACAACCATTTTATCCGGTAAAAGCCATCCTTTTATCAACAATGTCTTTGTCATTTGATCCAATAGCCTTCTATTAGATAGGAAAATATTTGATAAATACTGATAACTCTCAGATGGAGTATTAGAACGGAAAAATCCATTAGATAATGAGCTATTGGTTCTAAGCCATCTCTGGCGATGAATCAATAATTCGAAGTGATTTTTTGTGTATTCTTGATAAACCAGTGTTTATATATAAATGTAGAAGGATTTGTTTAGAAAGTAAGAAGCCCCTTTGACATTTCTTCTGTTGAACTATATTTTGATATAACAATTTAAACCAAAATGTTTTTGGACTTGAATTGAATGTTTTCAGAGTTTTAAAAAATAATTCAAAGTCCTTAAAAACTTGGAATTGAGCTCAAAATGATTTTCTGGTCAAGTAGTACTGATACTGTTCTTACAGTATCGATACCTCATGAACAATATCGATATTGTTCATATGGTACCGATACGAAAGGTAAGGGAAGTATCGATACTCACTAGGTAATATCGATACTCACTAGGTAGTATCGATACTATCAGTATTACTCAAATTTCAGAATGCAAAAATGGTATTGATACCCAAAGGGGTACCGATACTACTCTGTATATTAGTATCGATACCATAGGTATAGTATCGATACCATAAGGCCCAACGACTAGTTTATTTAAAATAAACAAAGGTAGTACCGATACCCTCTGTACTGGGCAAATTTATTTTGCAGAATTTTCATCCTCAAACGGCTTTAAACAACCCCTAATGGCTAAAAACGACCACAACAAGATTCCAACATATAAATACAAGTTCAAGACACTTGAAGAAGGTTAGAGAACCTATCCAAGCATTCAAACACAAGAGAAGAAGTCTTTTATTCTTATTTTCTTTCTCTCTTGTAAATATTTGTTCTTTGTGAGCTTAATTCTTGTAAACACCTACCTTAAAGGGTTTTATTGTTTAAATTTCTTTTATTTTATTGTAAAGGGGTTGGTTATATCTTACCAAGGGAAAAAGATAGAGAGTTGTAAATGTTATCTCTTTGTCATATAAAAAGAAATAACAAATTAGTGAATTTGTTAGAAAATCCTTAGTGAGGAGCTAAGGTAGTAGAGTAGACTTGGTGGAGAAGTCGAACCACTCTAAATACTTGTGTCTATTGCTCTATCTTTTATTTCTCCTTACTCCCTAAACTATTTATATCATTTCCCCTTGTAAACTTTTTTCGGTTGTCGATTCTAGCTTCTGCAAATCCCAACATCTTCATCGACAAAGGATTATCGGTGTGAAAACACATAGACAAACGGTTGATCTTTGAATAGGGAAAAGAGTGGATCCACAAGATCCCAAATGAATTGGCTTATTCGAAAAAAGCCTTGTTCATTGGAAGATCTATCTCGTGCATGGTACTGCATGGTTACACTTTGCAATAACTCTGAATCATTCTCTTAAAGCTCACCCTTTTCATCATAAATGATTTGCTTGCCCCGAAATAACCCGGCCCAATAGGAAAATCCCAATTTATTGGAATTTTTGATACAATCAAATAGAAATCCCCAAGGGCGCCATATTCTAGGAGCCCAAACTATGTGATTGAATAAATCCTCCTCTATCTGTTGCGGGTCGAGTACTCATTCTCCTTCCCCTTCTTCAAACTCTGATTCATATTTTTTCATAGAGATTTCTATGATCAACGATAGAACAAGATTCATTTTGCATCATATATAAAGGATTTATCCGCTCAGACCGAATAAGTAATGTCACTCGATCAATATCAAACTAACCGTAATCTTTTTCTGTCCGTGAGTATCCCACCAGAGTGCCTTCTACTTCTAATAGGCCATGAACTATATCATAATCATTCTCAACGAACCCATAAGAAGTGATCCCATTTTTTCATAGGGTCAAGGTAGATACCAAAAGTCTTAAGCGACCGATCTGGTAGAACAACTCAAATATATTTGATTGCTTAACTAACTTATGGAATACCTTAAAAAACTTAGAGTGTCATCTTGAGGGTTATTCGAATGAAATTGATACCTTATGGTTATTCAATATTTATTTATATTCTATGATTTTTAAAAAGTATATAAGATATGTTTCATTTTAAATAACAATATTTTTATGTTTTATATAATGAAGTTATTTTGATAAATAAATATTCATTTTGAGTTTTTTTATTTTAACATTCCGTTATCTTAGTTTATTTAATTATTTGGTATATTATGAGGATATTTCACTCATTCTGTACATGTTATTTATTACTATCACATTCATAAATCATGCATTTGATTTTTCGTTAAAGGCAATATTGTCTTGTGTCGTGAGTTTATGGAATTGCTTCTAACATAACTAGATTTCAATTTATGTTAATTCATGTAGTAAGAGAACATCATTCTTAAATAAAATTGAGTGAATCAAATCATGTTTATCGAGTCAAATATTTTATTAAATAATTCACGCTTTTTCAAAATTTATATAAATAATAAAGGACTGTAATTTAAATATTGAATTCAAATTTGTAAAATTTCACTATTTTAGAGAATGTATAATCGAGAGGTATCAATTTTGCACATTGTGAGAATTCTTACCTTTCCCCACGCATAATCGACTCCCGAATCTTTAAAAATGAATTTATGCTAATAAGTAGACCAATATTCGTCTTTAAATGATTTTTATAAAATTTGTTTGAAAGATGTTTTTTTAGGTATTTGACATATCTGACCTAAAGATCGATGGCGACTCCAAATCAAATTTATCCTAAATTTCAAATTAAAGCGAAAAAAATTAATTTTCCAAAATAAAGTGATAATTATTTTAAATTTGATTATTAAAAAATGGTTATAACAGTATATATTAGCTAAGATTCACTTACCTCTGGTGTAATTTTTTAGTTTACATCATTTTAGGATTATTACATGAGAGGAAATTAAAAGTTGAAATTAATTTCTTGTTTTTTACCAGTAAATATCTTTTTATTTCTTATCATTAATCTCAACCTTTGATTTTCTTTCATTAAACGATTCTAAAATGTGTAAAAAGTTTTATTTTACACATGTAATTGGATCTTAGTCCTATATATATATATATATATCATGTAAAATTAAAAAGTTTTACACCTTTTTAAGATCGTTGAATAAGGAAAAATCAAAGGTTGAGATTAATAACAAGAAATGAGAAGATATTCATTGAAAAATAAATAAAGAGTTAATCTCAACCTCTAATTTCTCCTCATCCAACGATCTTAACCTATATATATTAAACTATATATAATAATATTTTAAATATCTTTAAATAAATTAATACATATATACCCTAAAATTTAATTTTGGTTTGATCAGAAACCATACTGTACAAAATTCATTTTAATCCATTTAAACTTTAATTAAAAAATAATCTTATAAAATTGAGTTAACTATATCATACTTCTCCAATCTATAAATTTCATTTCAAATTGGTCCCTAAAATTTTAAACATTTGAATATTATCCTTAAATTATGAGTATCATTCTAAATTAATCCTCAAACTTTTGAATATTTTATTTTCATTCCCAAATTGTGATCTTCAATCTCAATTGATCCCAAACTTTTTGAATATTTCAATTTTATCCTAAATTATCCTTATATACCAATCACATATCTTGTTAATAAAATCATCAGACCAAGTTACATTATTATATGTTTGAAAAAAAATAAAATTTAGGTTAAACTGTAGTTGAAATGTATTATATATTTGGATGAATTTGGGAATTAAATTAAAAGATATAAAATTTTAAGGATCAATTTAGAATGAGATTCATAGTTTGAAGATGAAATTAAAATGTTAAAAAATTTTAAGGACTGATTTAGAACTAAAGTCGTAGTTTGAGAATGAAATTAAAATATTTAAAAGTTTAAAAACTTATTTGACAAATCTAAAATTACATCAAATTAAACTGTGTTAAATCAGCACGCCAAAAATGACGGCTAAGATTGATCTTAAATTTAACCGTCCGATCATTTCCATCCTGAATCCAGCGGTCACAATGTCTCATAGGTAAGCAAAAAGCCCTTTTAAATTGCGGGAAGAAGACCGATGGCCGACTCTTTAGCTTGTCTCGCTAATAGTTGTTTTCCCGATCCATTTTGTTTTTTTTTTTAAATTTCCGATAAAAAAATTGTTCCTTTTCCCATTTTTAATAATATTAATAGTTAATTGGTCTAGGGTTTCTTGATCTACAGCCTTTTGTTTCCTTCTTCTTCGTGTTTCTTTGTCTTTCTGTTGTTGTTGTTGTTGTATTTCTTCTGCTTCGTCGCCGAAAAGATTGAAGGAATTGAAGAAAGGGTTTTCGACATTGGAGGAACAGTGAGCGAGCACTGCTATACTGGTAATTGATATTGGTTTCTTCTTTTTTTTTTAAGTTTTTTTTGGATCTAGTTTTGGGTTTCTCTAATTGGATTAGGGTTTTGTTGTATCAATCTTCTTCTGATGTAAAGATTTGGGCTATTGTCTAGTTAATGGTACTTAATTTTCTCAAATTTGAATCAGCAAGCTAGTTTTTCTTCACTTTTGATTTTAATTTTCCATGCATGATTGAAAATTATTAAATGTGAATTTCGGGCCTTTTTTTGGTGTTTTATATGGTTTAATCTGTTGGATTTGTGGCTCTTAAGGATGGGTAATGTAAATTGTTTAACGAGATGGGTAAAATTCAGTGTTTGGGCAAATGCATGCTGGAGCTGCTTTTATTCAACTATGAATAAGTTAAATTATTTCTCATGCTGTTCAATTTAGTTTCCATCGTCGGAAAAGCTTTACAATTGAATGTATTCGCTGTTTAATCGGACAATTTTGATTCCCATAAATGTTTTCTAGGGTTTGTTCTAGCAAATTTGGGTATTTCAAAAAATAAATAGTTCAAGGAAGTAGACAAAATGGTCAGAAGATTTTATGTTTGGGTAAATTGATAAAAAAGAGTTAATCTAAACTTGCTTAATGATACATTTACCTACCTTTACTCTTGTAGTTACTGTAGAAATCAATTTGGATAATTATGCTTCTATGGTTGATATCTTCAGAGTGTGGTGACTAAATCAGCAGCTCCTTTTCACTGAATAAAGGGATACAAAAAGAAGGGTGTTTGGGTTAAGATGTTGGCAAAGCGAGATACGTTTGCAGGAGAGTATTATTGTGGCCCATATGAGCCTCCAGGTGACTCAGAGGGATCTGGTAGCTCGGGACGAATTGATACCGAGATTACTGCTTCAGAAGGCTCAAGTTCCCCGAAGAGAAAATGTATCAGTTTGAACCCTGATAAAAACGACACTTTAGGTGTCAGTATGCAAGTTATTTCACTGTCAAAAATGTCACAGTCTGAAAGAAAGGGTTTGATACATAGGTTGAAACATGAGTTGGAACAGATTCGAATGTTTCAGAAGAAAGTTAAGTTGCAAAGGACAAATGGGGTCATTGTGTCATCTTCTAGTGATATTCTTAGTTGCAGCAATGGTCAGGTTTTAACTCATGCACGGGATTTTCAGAAATCGATGGCTTCTGGATCCGGGAAGAAGGGGAATCCTTTGAGTGGAAAGGCACGTGGTCTTAATCAGTCTTTTTCTGGGAAATCTGAGTCGGCAAAACATGCTTCAGCTGTAAACACATCAAATATTATGTTGATGAAGCAGTGTGAGGGTCTTCTAAAACGACTGATGGGCCATCAGTACGGGTGGGTTTTCAACCAACCGGTAGATATAGTCAAGTTGAATATTCCAGATTACTTTAATGTGATAAAGCACCCGATGGATCTAGGAACAGTTAAAAAGAAGATAGCATTAGGTGCTTATGGAAGCCCCTTTGAGTTTCATGATGACGTGAAGCTTACTTTCAGTAATGCAATGACCTATAACCCCCCTGGAAATGATGTCCACATTATGGCTGATACCCTTAACATGTTTTTCGAGGTAAGGTGGAAAAACATTGAGAAGAAATTACCTGTTATTAGTTCCCAGTTGGTACAAAGTAAAGCTCCTTCTGAGGACATGGAGACTTCTAAGTCAATGCCTCCTGCAAAAAAGAGAAAGACAACCTCAGTGGCCCAAGATATTGTAAAGGAACCTGCAAAGAGAATGACGGATGAGGAAAAACACAATATAGGCAGACAACTGGAATCTTTGCTATCTGAAATGCCTACGCATATCATCGATTTCTTGAGAGAGCACCGTTCAAATGGAAATGAATCTGGAGAAGAAGAAATTGAGATCGATATTGATGTCCTCAGTGATGATAACATGTTCACATTGAAGAGACTTTTAGATGACCATTTGCAAGAAAAACAGAAAATCCTAGTTAGAGGTGATCCTTGTGAAATTGAGGTACATATCCATACCTTATAAAGGCTGCAAGTTTCGCACCAGTGCTTGGTTTAGATGCTCCAATATGTATATGTATATGTATAAAAGCAAAATGGTCAAGTACTTCTAAATCTTATTTACTTTTGTTTGCTTTTTGGGAAATTTTCTGATTCAGGTAATGAATGAATCTGCTCCTAGTAATTCATCCATGCAACAAGGCAAAGGTCATCTTTCAAATCATTGTGCTTAATAATTAACCCACATGTTTTCCTTCTGACTTGTTTTCTGTCCTTTTCATTTGCAGGGAATGACCAAGCTGATGAGGATGTTGACATTGGGGGAAATGAGCCTCCTGTTTCAAGCTATCCACCTGTGGAGATAGAGAAAGATACAGGCCATAGAAGTGCAAAGTCTGTCAGTTCAAGCAGCTCTAGGTAATCACACTTTTCCCTTTTCCTTTTGGTATGCATCATGTAATTTGTCTTCCTAAGTAAATGATGAATCATCAGTTCCCACATTGTTTTGGATCCAAATTCTCTGTTCTCCACGCAGCTGAGTTACCAACCTACCAACATATGGTAAACATGATTGTTAGAAAAACTAGACTGGAAAGTTTTCAATTAGAGAATTGGTTCTTTAAATTTATGCTTCTGTATGTTATCTGCTGATCTAGTCACTTTTGGTTGCTTGTGCTGAAATTTGGTTAGGTAAATAACTTTTTTTGAACTCCCCCACCCTTGAAAGAGGAGGTAGATTAAATGCCTGTTGCAGGTGCCATTTCCGTGGCTGCTTACTTTTTTTTTTTTTAATCTTTGTGGATTCAGACTCTGGCAGTTCGGATAGTGAATCTGATGGTGCTAAAGCATCAAATTTGGTGGATGCAGTGAAGGTGTGTGCTGGTTCTATTTAGTTTTAAATGATAATTCGGACTTGTTTGACCTTCTAGTTCTATGTTTGATCCACTTTAAAGTTTAACCTTGTCCCAAGTAGTTTCGGATGAGCTGGATTACATTTTAACTAGTATCTTAATTTGCATTACCCCTTCAGGTACCAGATACTATAGATTCTGGGGCTCAATTAGACGAAAACCGGTGCTGACAATCTTCTTGATAAGAATCGTGAGTGACCAAGTTTTAATGTTTATATTTTTTTTCATGAGCATCGAAGGAGAAATGTTCCAATACCTATCTTCTTGCTTGAATGGCAAAGCCATGAAATCATATATACTCCCTTTAATATAAGTTTTGTCAATCCGCATTCTATATGCAGAATGTATGAGTGGGTTAGATCAGCTTGAGCAGACTTCTCGGCCAAATCCAAGTTCTGTTGAGTCAGACGGTTGCCAAGATGGTAAGTTCAATGAAAATTTATGAGAGTAAAAATGAAAAAAAAAAATTATATTAGAGTTGTGCCTTATTGTCTTTCCAATTAAAAATATAGGGGACAGTGCTCCAACTGAGAGACAGATTTCTCCTGAGAAACTCTATAGGGCTGCTTTATTGAAAAAACGATTTGCTGATACCATTATAAAAGCTCGAGAAAAGGCACTTCCACAGGTTAGATGAAAGGTTGGGTTCCTGGAACTTACAGTATGGCATACCTATTCTTTTCTGAGCACTTTTTGTCATGGATCAGGGAGATGTGGGGGGCCCGGAAAAATTGCGTCGGGAAAGAGAGGAACTGGAACAACGAAGGAAGAAAGGTTTGTACTTTAGTTGAGTGTATTTGCTGTGTGTTCAACTTGCAATTTTTTTGCTACATAGGTTTCCAAAATGGACAAGTAAACTTATTTACAATCTTTACATGTGAGCAGAAAAGGCACGACTGCAAGCAGAAGCGGAGGCTGCAGAAGATGCTCGAAGGCAAGCTGAAGCAGAAGCTGCAGCTGAGGCTAGACGGAAGAGGGAGCTTGAGCGAGAAGAAGCACGGCAAGCATTACTGAAGGTGGTAGAAGAATGCGTTGTATCGACATTTTCTTTCAAAAAAATGGCATCCTTATTAGTTGTGGACTCAATATCCAAATATTTCTGATGTTCTGCAGATGGAGAAGACTATCGAAATAAATGAGAATTCTAGGTTTCTCGAAGACTTAGAAATGCTTAGCTCCACCCCGGTCGAGAATTTGCCAAGCTCGGTGGACGGAACATGCTCGGATCACAACCTGGAAGCGCTGGGTAGTTTTAAGTTTGGGAGCAGCAACCCCTTGGAACAACTGGGGTTGTACATGAAGGATGATGAAGAGGAAGCCGAAGGTGAGCCGACAGGTTTTCCGAATCGAATAAATGATGCAGAGGAGGGTGAAATAGATTGAGATCTGCTCATGTACTCACAACAATGTAATCTTTTTCTTTTTGTAGCAACTTTTGTAATTACAATCACAAGTTCAAGAGAGTTTCAGTTGTGTCTAATGTAGTTTAAGAGGCTTCCATTAACCATGACTCGTTGAGGAACAGTACTAACGGACTCGATTTAAGTGGGACTAAACCCTATTATTTCTTAGGTAGCATAAATGAAATCTGAATTTATTTTTTGGGATTTAGGGTTCTAGAGTTTGTGTAAACTTTGTTCTCATTCTTTCTCACATTTTGGAGTTTGGTTTAGTATTTTGAAAATGTTGAGTTACTCTAAAAATAAAATATTTGGTTTAGTATTTTGATAATTTTACAATTTAATCTTTGATTTTTTTTATCCCTTTGGAATGTCAAAGCACTTTCAATTCTTCTTTTCAATAACAAGTTTTCTGTTTTTTTAATCTCAATTTTTCATGAATTTCTTATTTTTTCAATCAATCTTATTTTAACTTATTTTTCTTACTAAAATTGTATTTTTTAAATTTATTCTTAATTTTTCATTTTTATTCGATTTGATCTTCTGATTGCACTTGTTTGTATTTCTTTTTTCTCATCAATTCATTGATTATTTTATACTCTCTTCAATATTTTACCCTCAAAATATTTTCTTTAAAATATAATATTGTAATTATATCTTATAGGTTTAGATTGTATTTGATAGATTAAATAAAATTATAATATTAAAAGTATATATAGTTAGAGAAAGTAAAAAAAAATTGGAATCAAATTGTACCATAATATTATGAAAGTTTAATACAAAAATAAGTACCCAAATTATACTCTAAGGTAACTTTGGGTGCCAAAAGAATATTTTACTAAGGGGCTGTTTGTTTATCTCTTAATAGAACTATTCAGCGCTGAATGCTGAACCGTTCAGCATTCAGCGCGTTTGTTTCGCACCTCTGAATGATTCAATGTTGACTGATTCAACAAAACAATGTTGAATGATTCAGCACAGAAGTACATTCTGAATGATTCAGAGCCATTATCAAACAACATGTCACATTCAAAGCTAATTCATACAGAACCTCTGAATCATTCAGCGCTTAATCATTCTGAAGTAAACAAACAACCCCTAAAAGCAAGTGCCTAATTTTTTTTCATTGAAAGTGTGTGCTTTAACGTTTTTTACGTTACACTTTTGTGTCTATATCGTAACAATCTTTATAAAAAAACCGTAATCTAACACATGACACATTTATATTTTTTTTTCTTATTTATTTTCATCATTTAAAATGTAGAATACTCATTTTTCCGTTATAAAAATAAAAAGAATACATTTGAGTTTTTTCCGTTTAAATTCATTTAACTCGAAGTGTAACTTCAATGGTAAAAAAAAGTATTATTCTCTTCATAACGATTTAAACAACGTCGATGCTTCGATGATAGAGTATAATTCTCTTGAATATCATTCAAATAATTTTACGTACAGATATGCTTGATTTTATACTATCAATTGCATCGATTACTAATCAGATCGAATCAGATCCACAAGGCTGGTTGGATGACCTGACTGACGGGGGTGTTGAATACATTCCTGAAGATGAAGTGAAGGTGGCTGCCGCTAAGAGGCTTCGAATTTCAATGGAACGAATAGCCTTGTTAAAGGCTGCACAGGCAAGAAACCTCCTAAAACCGAGATAATCGAGGACGAGAGCGAAGACGAAGATGATGAAGATAAAAAAAGAAGAGAAGAAGAAAGAAGGTGAGGAAGATGGTAAACCTAAGGACCTTCAACACTCTCGAAACTAACAGCAGAAGAAGCCGAGCGCCGCGCTCTTCAAGCTACTGTACTCAGGAATGGCACATGCTGTGTAAAGATCGAAACACGAAGATCGGTTAGCTTTCGTTATTTTTCGGCTTCGGGTTCCATTAAAGAGCTGTACCTTTGCTATTACCGTATCATGATTTTCCATTTTTCCATTTTTCCCCTTTGTTATCTCTGCATTGGGAGCTTTCCTTTGTTCATTTCTACCGGCTTATCTGTTATTCATTACGAGTTGAATATATTTGTTTGAATTTCTATTCAAATTAAATGTAATTATTTATAGGGTAAAGTACACAAATTATCCCCGATTATGGAGTATTGTTTAAACTAAGTCCATCGATTATGAAAAGTTAAAAATGATCTTATGACTATATAGTGTTGCTCGAGTCCATCGACTATTAGAAGTTATAAAATGATCATACTATTTAAATTATTTAACTAAAGACCAAAACGAGGTTTAATTTTTCAAATATTCTTTACAGTCTCAAACTCAAGCTATGAATAAAATATTCAATTGATTCGAAAACTCAAAACAAAAAAAGGTAAATTTTAGGGTTATAGTGTACTGTTTTACAAAGTCCATTAACTATGAAAAGTTACAAAAGTTATCAAAATATATGATATAATGTTGCTTTGAGATCACTATCCAATTAAGTTTAAATAATCTGACTATTTAAATTATTTAAATAATCATACCTAATGTTTAATTTTCATTTCATTTTAGTAACCCACCATTAAAAAACTTTATGGGTTTAATACCTAAACTATCAATTTTGGTTCATTTTAGTACCTAAACTTTTAATTTTTCCAAAATTTAAGGTCAAATTTTGAACGGGATACTAAAATGAAACAAAAACTAAACTTTAGGTATAATTTTGAAAAAATTGAAAATTTAGGTACTCACATACCAAAATTGATTGTTTAGATACTAAAGGTGTAATACCCTAGAATCTATTCAAGTAACTTATAAAAGCTATTCCATCAAATTCTTCAATAAGCTCATACATCCACAGATTAGGTCAGCAAAAGTACATATATTATATCGAAACCTCTCTAACAAACTTGCAAGTCTTAGATCTTTCTCATTGATAGTTAACCACTCATATGTTATACCTTTGAGGAACGTTGTCGAAGTCGTCAAAGTCGAACCTCTGCCGCTCTCTCCCGGCCTGAAAACAAAGACGCGGTTAGCTCCTACCGGATCAATGATTCATACATGATAGCTTCGCTTAAACTCTTTCGTATATCGAATACAAAAGTCTCACCTTTGCTAGATACAATGGATCACATGACATGAGTTCATCCATAACATTCAGCTTCTTCGAGACTGTCATTAACCTGTAACGGAACACGAAAATAAAAACTAAAAACTTCGATACTTTATCCATGATGAGGTCGAGCTCGTGTTTACACTCGAAGGTACATTGACATTACGAAATTATCAATCAAATTATGTTGTTTTCATTCCTATACCATCCCATAGCGAGTGTACCTTTGGATTGATGAGTCGATACGCTCAATCATTTCGCAGGTCTTATATTGTTCAGGATCTTCTAGGAATCGAACCATCCCGTCCTTCTGGTTGATCGTTGCATATATCTCACCATCTTTAATCTAAAATTCAGCACGAAAATTTCAACTCCGGAACTTCATAAAAGTAACAGATACGTAGAACAGTAGTCTTTAATTAACCACAACAGACTATCCGTAATTACCATTTGAAGAACATGCATTTCAGCTTCCTTGGGGCTATTCAGTTGCACCCTGTTAGCAATATCCTGAAGCGAGAGAGTTAGATATGTCTGCGTCAATCTCTGGATATTTCGTTTATACATAGACGATACTGCCTGCTTCACCAAGCCTAGATTGTTGTCCTGGTTAAAGGTACAAAGCTTCTTTTAGAAGGTCGAACAAATCGTAGGTTTAAGTTTAGATACAGCACTTACGCTCTCGAATTTATCCTTGTTCGCCTCAACGTATGTCTCTAAGTCCGCAATTTTCCCGTTGCTATAACTGTTTGCCAGTTCGATATACGGCTACTCGAGATAAAAGTAAAAACTTGATTAATAAACTGAAATTTATGGAAGCATATCATTCATTCTTTTTATGTAGGTAGGAAGCTACAATTTTCAAGTTAATTGCACAAAACGTCTTCAAACTATGAGCTCGACCCTAAATTGGTCTTGAACTTCAAAACTTTCTAATTTAAGCCTAGCCTAATGACTACGCTAATGGAAGGATCTGATCGATACGATGTTGATACTTTGAAGACTCAATTAGAATGTTTTGATTTGGAACTAATTTAGAATTTCGCTCGTAATTTCGGGACATCTCATGCAATTAACCCTTTTCAAGTCATTATCATTAATCTTAGAATTCATATTTACCTGGCATAAGTTCTTCAAATTTCTCTGAGCAACTGAAGAAGCATACTTAGGGAGATTGGTAGGAAACTGTAACCAAAAGGATGAAAAATCACTCAGAGATGAAGAACAGCAAAGACGTACCGCAGCTTAATACGTAATACAAATCGAGAACCAATTTTATCATTTGTTCTTTCTTTTTTAAGGATTTCTCCGTATTTTCTTAATACACAATACAATGTAAAAGGAATGTTAACTGCAGAACATACCTGTCCATTGTGAATAAGAGAGACCAATATGTACTTTTTGAAAGCCTCGACAGCTATCGCATTGATGGTCGGCATAGGAGCAGTCACAACCTAAACAATTACCATACAGCAAATGAAAAAAAAAAGAGTAATTGGAAGTCAGACTGTAGGAATATTTGCCACAGCAGAGCTTTAAAGAAACGGCATACATTGTGTAGAAGCTCCAATGCTTTCCGGAACCGCTTATGTCCGATGCTTATCATTCCCCTGTCGTGATGTCAAATGGGAAACCTAGATAAGTGATTCCCCTCGATGATGCTAAACCAGCGAAACAGTAAAATAAAGATACCGGTACATCAATTACTAAAGATTTATCTTTCACCTTCAGTAGGTAACAAAACTTTACTGCTCATGCAAATTTTGATTCGTAATGAGACCGGGAAACTGTTACTCTACAAATGCTTATAGAAGGAAGCTATTTTTTATATCGATTACAAAGTGTATGAAAAGAAGTGTCTTAAATATACTTCATAATGAAATCGGAAAAACATTAGATGTTACACGTGCCTATAGAAAAGCTAATGTTCTTATCTATTGCAAAATGCCAAAGAAAAAGATAAGAGCTCTTAACGGCTATGCGTTTAGAATTTGTAACGGTTAAAGAGTAATCTGAGATGAAAATAGTATGGATTGCGAAGCAACCGACCCGTAATAGCAAAAAAGGAAAAGGTCCCTTGGCTGATCAACCTCGAAAATATCTTCCTCCAAAATGGAAAGACCAGTTTTGTAGCACTTTGACAGCAAACAAAGCAAAAGAAACTCCGGGTGTAATGCGGTCAGATGTTCGGAAGAGGACTGAAGCTTCCGAATAGCGGTCAGCATTGGAGCCACTCCACGCAAGGGCTCCTCAAGCAAAAGAACTTGGTCTTTGAACCTCTTACAGACAGATATAACTACCAAATCACAGTAAAATCAACATCAGCGACCGAAAAAAACAGAAACTTTGCAAATCTCAATACCGATTCGATTCAAAGAAAGGGTGATACATACACTTATCGGGTGCCAATCGAATTTGCTCGGCAACACATGAACTGATAAATCTGGCAATCATTAACACAGATGAACTAGCATGCTCGTTTGTAACTGGACCAGCAGTAAAAGCTTCCCTGTTGAAATCATTAAAAGTACTCACAGCTATTAATTGAACACCTTAACAAACAAAATTCCCAAGATCAAATTTTCTTCAACTTTCTTTTCTTTTCTCAGCAACATTAATAAAATTCATAGCTATTACTTTTCCTTCCAACTGTTTTCATAATAAACCCATATTTTAAACTTGAAGAGAAACTCTTTTTGGGTACATAAAAAGAAAATAATTAAACCAGTATCTGAAACCCTAAAAAAACAGTGTTCAATTTTCTCCTATTTTCCTTTCTTTTCTTACCACCCAAACGTCAAATTCTAAACAATACCCAGATCACCCCCAATGAAAATTTGACAAAATTAAACAGGGGGAGTCGAGTTTTTTAAGACTCGGATTGAGGAATGACTCACAGGAAATAGAGGTAACCCAGAGAGTGCTTGGCAGGGTCGAGTTGGTCGAGAAAAGGCAGCAATCGAGTTGACTCGGCATGGAGCGAGTCGTCAGCTTGTTTAAGCAAATTTTGCAGCGATAAAACATCCGAGTCGGTGCCTGATAGCCCCTGGATTTGAGTCACTAGACCTTCCATTGAGTTCACCCCTCGCAGCTGAGTTTTCTGATCGTATCGACTCAGTGACCTTAACAAAAAAATAAAATAAAACTTGGATTTCCAGTTATTACAACTAGTTTTAAAAGAACTTTTTTGGTTAAAATAGTAGACAGGTCCCTGTACTACAGTCTTCTGATTGAATTAGTACCTCGAGCAAGTTAGTTTTAAGTTATATCTGAATTAGGCAATTTATACCTATGCTCAATTAATTATTCTCTTTTCATTTTAATCATCCATCTTTAGTTTTTATCAATTAAATCATTTATCTATTTTGTCAAACAAATCACATTTTATCATTAATATTTACTTATTCTATTAGTTTAGTCTTAATTTTAATTCAATCAAATAAATTTAATTTTTAATTATATAATAACATGTTGATAACAAGTTATGAAATAAAAAAATAAGAAGAAGTAATACGAAAATAAATAGAAAATTTTCTATTATTATCTCTATATAAATTGTTTTTATGATTTTCTTTTAATTATATCTATAGGCATAAGAAATATATATCATATATAACTCTAATTTCATTGAATATTAAAGTTTTAATAATAAAATACATCAAAAGTATATTTAATATATAATGTTATAATAATAATAATAATAGATGTTCACATAAATAAATATTCATAACAAAATTAAATTTATTATTATGTTAGTTTATTAATTAATATATCATACTTGAACTCATTAAGCGATCTCATTGGTAAAATAGAGTATTATTCTTTATAAAGGTTTTGGGTTCAATCAACTACTTCTGTAGGTAGGGATGACAATGGGTAAGGTAGGATCGGATTTTTGGTCAACCCGACTTGATCGGAAAATTATGTATCCTCCACCCGTCCGACCTGACCTAAAAATATATATCCTCCACATGTCTCTGACCCGACCTAAATTTTTAGAGTAAAAATCTGATCATACTCAGTATAAAATAATATTTTTTTAATAAAATTACATAATTATCCTTGGGTCGAGTCAGGACTGGTTGGGCCGGGTCAAAGTTTTTTCACTCTTCACTCGAACTCAACCCAATTCGACCTGAAGTCGATTTTATTTTTAAAAAAATTGATCCTATCAAATCGAGTCGGGTTGAAACCCGTCGATTTCATATTAAATTATCATCCCTATCTATAAGGTATATGTTGCCAATAATTAAAAAAATTAAAATATATATTTTCTTATAATCAGATTATTAAAAAAATAATATGTCATCCTTTTCTTTTTAAATGAAAAATGATATTCTTATAACTTTCAAATTGAATGATTATTTTGTAACTTTGAATAGCCGACAAATGTAATTAAAATTAAGGTAAACTATGCAGATAGTTACATCTGTTTTTGGTCACCAATCTAAAAATTATAGGGGAATGGTCTCTAGCGTTATTGATTCGTTTGATTTTAGTCCCTAACTTTGTTGATCTATTCGATTTTAGTCTCTCAATCGTTAACTCTTATTCAATTTTAGTCCTTAATCCATGTTAGGGAATTAGGCAAAAGGGGTTAACGAAAATTAATAACCGAGGGCCGAAAATCGAACAAATCGATAACGTTAGGGATTATTTCCCCTTAATTTTTAAATGGGTTACCAAAATCAGTTAGACTCTAAACATAGGAGACTTTCCGCATAGTTTACCCTTAAAATATGCATTATAGTTGAGGTACTAACGAAGAGTTTTACCCTTCCCGTAAAACGGCAATTTTATCGAAAACAAACCCACTCAGTTTCTTTTCCCCGATTCTTTATCACCTCCGCCCCTCTCTCCGGGGCTGACCTCCGCTCCCATCGCCACTCTCACGACTCTTCTACATGTATGTTTATCTGCTTTCTCATAGATTTGTGTTTTCTTAAATAAGATTTCATTTTTTTTCAAGATCTGTTATGTAAATGGTTTTTTTCTTGACTTAAGTCTTAGGGCAAGATAGTAGAAGTTTGGCTTAGAAACTAACTGTTCGGAGATAGGATCTGTGGAAGATGATTGATGATTTGCTAAGAAATGTGGATTTTTTTTATTTGTGATGCATTCATGTTGGGTTAATTTCATATTGCAGCTGAATTCTGAAAACCCAGAAATATAAGGGCATCAAAAGATGAATTACGTATATTTGGCTGATTAGTGTTTTGAATTGCTTTGTTTTGGTTGTGTTCATTTTTGGCTGCTACTTCTTCATGGGTGGGTGTAGAAAAATCTTGATTGATTAGAACCGTAGGGGCTAGAATCAGAGCACTTCATATTCATATCGCGTTTTTATTTCGATGTTGTTTAGAATTAGAAGCATAGCAGAAGTATCAGAGAAAGGAAAAGAGAGTTCTAAATAATGGCGGATTACCATTTCGTTTACAAAGATGTAGAAGGAGCTTCCACTCAATGGGATGATATCCAAAGAAAGCTTGGCAATTTACCCCCAAAGCCACCTGCTTTCAAGCCTTCTCCTTTTGAACCTGCACCCGACCTGGATTCTGCTCCCAAGGACAAGTCTTGGATCGATCAAAGGACTGAAGAAGAAGTTGAAGATCTCGAAGATGATCTCGACGATGATCGTTTCCTTGAAGAATACAAGTTTTATTTAGTTTTTATTCAAGAGAAAATAACCTCAGTAACCGAAAATGTCTTATAATATACGATTTTGACCAACTTTTTTTCGATTTGTCAAAATGACCAACAAATCGCAATGCGATCTCTAAATCGTAACGCGATCTCCAGTATCGCAAATCAGTTTCCAGATTCGCAATGCGATTTTGACTATCGCGTTGCGATTTTCTAAAATCGCAATGCGAATATATAAATCGTAACGCAATTCTGATTATCGCGTTGCGATTTTCTAAAATCGTAATGCGAATATGTAAATCGCAACGCGATTCTGACTATCGCAACGCGATAATACAAAATTGCAATGTGATTTTCCAAATTTACGTTAGTCCAAATTCGTTGCGATAGTCAAAGTTCACGTTGCGATTTCTTAAGAATTTTATCTAAAAAGATAGTATCCGCGCGGACGTGTTGAAGACACGTATTACCACGACCACGAGACGAGACGGGACGGCGGCGGCGGCGGTGCGCGAGAGTCCCCCTTGTTCTCTTCCACTCAACAAGGAAGTGGGAAATCCAAGCCTTAAATACTCATTCCCAATAGTGTTTCCAATACTATGTGGGATTAAGCATTGCAAACACTTTGGAATCTTTTACACTATCGCAACACATTCTTTATTGTTTCAAACTAAGATCTTACAAATGGCTTGAGAATCTTTTACACTATCGCAACACATTTTTTATTGTTTCAAACTCCACATGAATTTGGAATAGTTAAAATGTAAATTTATTTTGGATTTTTCACTATCGCAACACTTTTTCACTATCGTAACAACACGTTTTTCAAACTCTCGCAACACATTTTAACTTTCGCAACACATTTTTCAAAATCGAGTTGCGAATCTGGATATTCGCGTTGCGAATTTAGAAACTGAGTTGAAAAATTAGAGTTCGCGTTGCGATTTTGTTGGTCATTTTGGCAAATCAAAAAAATTTTGTTAAAATCGTATATTATAAGGCATTTTCGGTCACTGAGGTTATTTTCTCTTTATTCAATTAATTGGATTTTTATTGGATTTAAATTTGAGGTTTAAAACGTTTAGTTATTGGGTTCAGAGAAGATTTTTTTATTGAATTAAAATGAGTTTGGTTTAATTGAACAAATTTCTTAATTTTGTGATGAAAGGAAAGTTTTTAAATGAATAAGAGTAAACTTCTATGATATACTTTAAGGCTTATTATTATTTGTTCTTCATTTTGTATCAAATTCATGATTTAAAAAAGTTGGAACATTTGCCTTGTGACTGTGTTTTCATTTGCTCTGGATCTTTTGAATACATGAAAAAGTTAAACATCTCGGTATTGGGCATATATTCGAATCCGGCTTCCACACTAAAGCTTGAGTAACAAAATGTTCTTCGATATCTATGTTTCTGCATTTCATTAGAAAAGAATGGTGTTTTGATAGAAAAAAGAGGCTAGCTGAGATGAGGGAAGCAGCTAAGGTTTCAAAGTATGGATCAGTGATGCAGATTTCGGGATCCGATTTCGTACGAGAGGTTTCACAAGCTCCTCAGGATGTCTGGGTGGTTGTCCTCCTCTACAAAGAAGGGTATTTTACATTTGAAATATTGCTTGCTTCTCATACGATTATTAGTCATCTAAATTGTGGCAAATTCGTTTGCATTGAGCACTTTCTAATCTTTCTCTTTATAATGTATTATATATTTTTCTTAAGATTGTTGATGGGATTTTATTTTCTTAATACAATATTAGTGCTTCCTGTTTAACATTTGAAGTAAACTGTATAAATTTTCATTTTTGTAACACTTAATGTAATCAAATCATATCATTTTTGCTTTACATTGTTCTATATTATATGGATGTTCCTTTCTGCCTGTGATGTAATTCGAATAAAAACTACATGATTTACGAACATGAAACTTTAAAATGCTTGCGCTTGTTGAAAAATGTGCGCTGATGGTCGTTGTATTGATTATTCTTTGCTTTATTGTTATTTCTTATTAGATTGCCGGAGTGTGGGCTGCTTCTACGGTGTTTGGAAGAATTGGCAGTTAAGTACCCTGCCACAAAGTTTGTCAAGATAATATCCACCGATTGCATCCCTAACTACCCAGATCGTAATCTTCCAACTCTCTTGGTGTATAACAGTGGAGCAGTAAAAGCAAATTATGTTGGCTTGCACAGTTTTGGCTGGAGATGCACGCCTGAAGGTATGCTTCAATGAAGGGATTCACTCTTCTTCTTCTTCTTCTTCCTTTTCTCATTTTAGAACCCTGGTTTTAATCTAGTTTGTTCGTTCCGTCGCCATTAAAAAGATGATGTAGTAGGTATAGGGTTCGAATCTCGGTTATCCATTCTCTTATCCTGTGATGTTTTGGATGCATTCTGAGATAAACTAATTGTCAAAATTAGATGGTTATTCAGTTTCTGTTTTTGTCTTAAAAAACAGGTGTGGCCTTAGTTCTCTGTCAATCAGACCCTGTATTAAATGATGGTCAAAGTGGGGGTGACCAATCACAAAAGGTTGTTCTTGAAGGAGTTCGAAGGCGGTTTATCGAAAAAATTGTTACTGAGCATGAGGATCGGGACGACGGAGGATCATCGAGTGATTAGATGTTCAGTACATTCACTCGGTTTCTTTTGGCTGGGAAAGGATAACGTCGACAAGCTATTGTAATTTCTGGTTTCTTGCAGCTGTTTTTTGGTTGGTCTTTGCTGGTTTTGATGTTTTTTTTTATATCAATACATTATAACTCTCTCCTATGGTTTGATATCCATTAATGGAAATTTGTGTTATTAGGTTTTGTGGTTCACTTACTGTGTTACCATTTTCACGTCTTTACACCGAGGACTTCCCTAAAAAGGAAGGGATTGTCCAAGATCCAACTCGAAATCTAATTTCGATTGAAATCGAAATTTCAATAAAACTTAGGTTAAATTACACAAGTGGTCTCTCGATTATAAGATATTGTCATTGTATGTTGCAGTGAGAGTCGTAGGTACACTTTACATACAAGAAAGTTGTATTTATCCTTTTAAATCTAGATAACGACAAAAGGAAATAAAATAAAATACAAATGAATTAAAATTTAATCGTCACTTCAGATATCGACGTTGCACTGAATGAGGAGTTCCGTGTAACACCAGGGATGGGTGAGTTCGGGGATCGTTACATTGGCACCGATGACTGATCCACCGTTGTCGGCAAGATCCGATGTACCAGGTATCGTATGGACCGGTTGTTGAATATGTAACATTCCGAAATACATATAGAAGATACAGTGTAGGACCGTCCGGACGGAAATCCGGAGATAAGTGTTATATCAGAGTGAACTTTCTTTTGCCTTAAAATGCTCAATTCGTGAAGTTGAGGATTGAAGAATAGTCGGAACAAAGTGAAGTATTATGAATACCAATTTCATGGGGGGTTGATTTTAGACAAATTTATTTATTTTCATCCATTTACCAGAAGAATCCATAGATTAAATGTCCAAAAAGAACCTGGCCCTATAGTCAAGGCATTCAATGACTATAGGATAAACTACTGCAATGGTCAATTTTGTTTCATAAGTATTCAATTTTATCTAGGGTAAATTATAAGTATAGTACCTAAACTATCAGTTTTGATCCATTTTAGTACTTAAACTTTCAAAATTTCAAAATCATACGTAAAGTTTGGTTTTTGTCTCGTTTTAGTATCCCGCAGTTAAAAGCTTTAGTTTTTGTTTCATTTAGTATCTCCGTTCAAAATTTAACGTTAAGCTTGGGGGGAACGAAAGTTTAGGTACTAAAACGACCAAAATTGATAATTTAGGTACTTAACGCGTTAAGTTTTTAATGATGTGTTATTAAAATAAAATGAAAACTAAATGTTTATGGTTTTGAAAAATTTAAAAGTTTAGGTACTAAAACAACTCAAAATTGATAGTTTAGGTACTAAATGCATACTTTACCCTTTTATTCATTAAATTTAAAATTGATATTTTGTATAAAACTCAAGTGCAAATTGATATTTTATTTTAAGTTTAGAGGTTAAATTAAAAATTATCAATTTTATTTATGTGTAACGTAATCAAATTAACGATATTTAATATTTAAGTGACTAGAATGTTATAAAATGATAACATGAGTGGCCGGAATGTTATTTTTTTTAAAATTAGAACAAGAATGAATGTTTATAAATGAAAGTGACCATTGGAATAGTTTACCCTTAACTATATATTTGGAAATGAATGTTATAAAATGAATATTTACCTAATTCGATGGGTTCTGACCCTATCGGAGGTTAGATTTTTTTTTTAAATCTAGTTTGAGTCGGGTTGGGTCATATTTTTTAAGGGTGATGTCAAGTCGGGTTCGGGTGGAGGGTGAAAAAATTCTGACTCGATCTGAAGATAATAGTGTAATTTCTTTTAAAAAAATATATTATTTTTAAATTAATTTCTTATTGTATACCGGGTTGGGTTGGGTCGGATTTATTTTATAAAAATTTTGGTCGGGTATATATATTTTCGAGTTAGGCTGATAGATGATATATAATTTTTGAATCGAATCGAATTAAAATAAAAGATATATATTTTCGACTTAGGTCGGGTTGACAAAAAATATATGAAAATTATTAATATTAATTACGAAAAAAAATTAGAAATTTAATTATTTAATTAGTAGCCAAAATTAGATTATTATATCACATGATTCCTCATATGAACATTATTGCATACAAAAAATGACGAGGAGAATTTCAAGGCCACCATTTTGTCGTCTCATTGTCTCCTTGATGTTCTTCATCTTCATCTGCTTCATTTTCCATCGATTTTCCGACAATCCAAACACCCAATCTATTGTCGTCTCCAAACTTGTAAGAAAATTCCTTCTAACATGTGAGAAATTTCTGTTTTTAATATTTTTAATGGTTTTTTGGATTTTTTTCATTAGGATTCGGACAAGAAAACTCTGCTGCGAGCAGCACTGATGAAAGCATCGATGCCCGATAGAACAGTAATTCTGACTGTCGTTAACGGAACTTGGGCGAAACCGGGATCGATCCTCGATGTCTTCCTCGAAAGCTTCCAAGTCGGAGTAGGAACGGAACATCTCTTGAACCATCTTCTCGTCATCGCCGAAGATAGCCGATCATTCGAGAACTGCAAGTCCAAGCATCCCCATTGTTTCGAACTCGAAAACTCGACGAAGAAACTCGCCGAGAAACCACCGGGAACACAAGGGAGCCTCATGTTTAGTCAGACGAGATTGATGTTGCTAACCCGAGTTATCGAATTCGGTTACAATGTCGTCTTCACTGTAAGTTTCAGACAATTCGCAGACCATGTTTGCTTCAATGCAGGCTTGCTTGACAGTGGTTAATGGTTGCAGAATGCAGATGTGATGTGGCTGAGGAATCCGTTGAGTAAACTCGTGGCTAATTTCGATTTATCGATCGGATGCGGGCTTTATCCGATCGATGCTAAAACATTCGGGATCGAAGGAGATGGAGGATTCTTTCATCTCAAGGCAAACGCAAGGACTATTGAATTCATCAGAATATGTAACATGAACAGAGTTCTGTACCCTGATTCCGAACACCAATCCCTCTGCAAAATCTCTGAAAAACAGGAGTACGTCGGCCTCATCGGAGTCGAGGAGAATTTCGGCAGTCTTTGCCTGCCGTGTGATCTGAATCAGAAACTTACGGTACAAGCAAACTGCTGTGACGACATTGATAGCAAGATCCATGATATGAAGCTTGTGCTCAATGACTGGAGGAACTTCGTACATCTGTCGTCGAATAATGTTAGCTCGAACCGGTCATCGGTATCGTGGAGGGCTCCGGTGAAATGCTTCTCGTGATTTCTCTTCTCGGAGAGTCACTGGAACAGATACTACCGTCGTGTAAACCGTCGACGATCATCGTCCTATGACATTGCCTCGGTTTTGTGAGCTCGAATGTTGAATGTTTTTTACATCACATGAAATCGCAATGTTATTAATCAAATATATAAAAAAGAATAAATTCGCTTAAAAAACTGTATATTAACTTGTTTATTTATTGATAATATTTTTAAAAAATATATTAAAATAAACTTGTACATATACCAATGTAAATTTGTCTTATTTATATGTATTAAGATAATTAAAAAATGTACCTAATTAATATGAATATGTGTTTAATTTTAGGTATCCAAAAAATGAAATATATAAATATGTATTTTTTTATAATTATTAGTATCCGATCTATTAATCGATTAATCTGGATCGAATATTACAGAGGCGATGGTGACGCTCTCAACCCATTTTGATACATTCACAAATATCATTCGAACCACAAACCTTACTTAAGAGATCTAATGTCTTATCACACTAGATCAACTGATTGTTAGTAAGCATGTGTTTATATCTATTATCATGATAGTGAGAGATGTGCATAGTGTATGTACATTTTCACGAACATGTTCGCGGATGCAAAACAAACATGTTTACGAACACTAAACGAATCGAGTCTCAACACACAAATACTAAACGAATAAAGTTTGAACCAAAAATATAAGGGTAAATTATGTTTTTAGTTCCTAAACTATTAGTTTTGATTCGCTTTACTATTTAAACTTTCAATTCTTTCAAAATCATACCTAAAGTTTAGTTTTTGTTTCATTTTAGTATCTCAATGTCCCATGTAGCACCTTTTCTATGGGGTAAATTATATCACTCATCACTAAACTATCTTCTTAATCCTATTTTGATTACTAAAGTTTAAATATTTTTAATTTAATTACTTAACTTTCAAATTACTCATTCTCATAATATAATCAATCTAACTTTCAATTTTTTATTGTATATTAATAAAATAATAATAATAAATTTTATACCATAAAAATTATTAATAAAATAAATTAAAGTGATTAAAATAGAAATAATTTAAAAGTTAAGTAGTTAAATTAAAAAATTTTAAACTTTAACACCAAAATAAGAGTTTAAAAATAATTGAGTGATAAATGATACTAAACTGAAATAAAAATTAAATGTTAAATATGATTTTAAAAGCACTAAAAGTTTAGATACTAAAATAAGTTAAAATTAATAAATTTGATACTAAACGTGCAATTTACCCTAAAATAAGATAGGCGCAAAAGGCTTTACCTCTCGTCGGAACCGGTTGACCAATCGTTCTTTGGGTTCGTTTTCATCCAGACTTAAAATTTTATTTTAGCTTATGTTAGCATGATTTTTAAAATTTTAATGACGAAAATAAATTATTAATTGAAAATATAAAAAATATATTTAAAATATATTTTGTGCATCCCTGACCTGAACATTGTAACCTGATTTGAAGAACAGGTGTTTGCATATGCAAGGGAAGGGCATATGACAGATGGGAGTTCAGTAGATACCGATGGAGATTGGTGATCATCTTGAGGCGACGATGAAAGGTGAGTTTTTTTGGGTTAATGGGATGTGAGTGAGAGGTTGTTCAGAGGTACGGCGGCGGTGATGAGTGATGACGATGGTAGCGTAGGCGAAAGGAAGGAGATGAAGTTTGAAAGAGAGAGCCAAGTGGCCATTTTGAGTCCTTTTTTCCAGTTTGTGGATAAGGGAGTTTAATTGACATTTTCTTTTCTGGTTTTATAGTACAAGAAAGGTTAAATTGGTTGATCGTTGGGCTTTATGCCACTTGGGTCTCAAATTGGATAAAGAATGTTTTGTTGATCCAGCTGGGTCATTGACTCATTTACGATTATAGCATCAGTCAACTTAATCTGATCTGAAAATATATATTATCGCTCGAAATTTGAATTGAATTGAGTTTAGGGATGATTTCACACGATTTAAATTGGACCCGATTTTTAATATAAAACTTGAACCTAAATATTGAGATATAAAAAATATTATTTTCATTCAATAAAAATAGGGATCTAATCGAGACAAAATGTATATAGAATTATTAGTACAAGTATCCCTAATTATATAAGATAACTTTTTATTATTTTTCAGATCAAATCAACTATTTTTCGCTCTAAACTCAAACCTAAATATATTATTTAAAAAACCCGTGTCCATCCTAGTGTTACCTTCAAGTTTAGATACGACCACTAGAAAAAAAAACCTATCACTATAGAGGTTATCTCGCATGATAAAAATAATATCAAATCAATTTGTTAATATGTCACATCAGAATTTCATCACCTCTATTAATAATTGTTAATATCGAATAACAATTTGTTATAAATCAATAAAGTTAATGATCATTTCATTAGTTTTCAAACAACAATGTAAAAATAAATACTTAGTGAAATATAAGCGACTATTTATATAGTTTACCCTAAAAAAATAATTTTTATTTTATTTTTTATTAATCTAGGGTAAGTATAAGGCATTATATGTTCATAAACAACTCTGCACCATTTGACATTAAACACTCACACCCTTTGACATTCCTGATGCTCGAATCCGATACATTATAAAATAACAACAATTCATCCACCATTGAAGTAGCTCGGTTCGTGTCCTAAAAAAATTATAATAAAAGAAGTATATTAAATTATATTTAAATTATTCCCTAACTACTCCATTTAATAATATTTAGATTATGATAGTTGATAAGGCATTTTTTTATTTTAATTTTTTATGATTATTTGATGAATAAAAACAAATAAATGAGATTTATAGTATAAAATCGAAGGATCTGTAAAAGACAAAATATATTTAATTTAATAATATTAATTTTAATCATTAAAGCTTCATGGGTTAGTATTTTACAAAGGCACATCATATGGTACACTCCAAATAATGGAAAGGAATTTTTTAATGAGCATAATCTCAATACGTATCTTTTAATTTAAAAAAAAAGATGAAGATAAGATACTTAATTTTTTTTAATTATAAGAATTCTTTATTAAATTTATTGATTATCGAAAATTAATTAATTAATTTAAAAATAATAAATTAATTATTTTTAAAAATTAATAATAAATTGTATGTAACTAACAAAATTAAAATAATAATAATAAATTTAACCCTAAACTTTTATATTATTTTTATTTAACTTTAATTCTAAAAAAATTAATATTTTAATCTTCTACCAATTTAGTCCACTTTCTATTAATTTAATAACATTAATAAATATATACGAACCGAAAGATCTTAGTGATAAAAATTTTGTTATTATTTCTTGAGGTCTATAATTCAAGTACCATAAATGTTAGGGATATGAACGTTCAATGTCAAATGATTAAGAGTCATCTTTGAATAAATAGTATCTTGTACTCAGGGACGGAGCCAAGATTAGATATAGACAAGGGACAAAATATTAAACTTTTTAAGAAAAATACAATGATTTATTATGTATTTAAACTTAAAATTCAGAAGATAATGTCTAATTTGTATAATATTAAAACTTATAATGACCTAAATTGTTATTAGAATTTAGATTAAAAAAATTGAGAACATTAATTATCATTCTTTATTTCGTCTCATACTTGATTAAATATTTAATAAATAATATTAATAAATAAATTTAAAAAACTAAAAAGAATCCATCCATTTCTCCATCTTTTATAACCATCTCCTCTCCGTCCTTTCAATTCTATTTGATCAAAAAAACAAGATGGGATTCTAAATAAATTTATATTATCTTTTTAAGTCAGTGATGATTTTATAACTTTTTATAATTATGAGACTTAACAAAAAGAATATCACTTTTGTTAAACATGATGCAGTCCAAAATTCTGTCTAGTCATATTTCCAATTCTATTTTTTAGAGTTAGGATGAATTTTAAAAAAATATAAAATTTAAGGGATAAATTTATTATTGGGTAAAATGCATAAATGGTCCTTCGACTATAGGAATTTACTTTGTTAAGTCCTCGATAATTAAAAGTTATAAAATGGTTCTCCGCTAATAGAGCGTTGTTTTATTGAGTCCCTCTACTATTAAAATTTACAAAACGATCACCAATTATATATTCTAACCTTGTCTATTTTGTTAAAAAAATGATGGTCGTCTAAGCTGAACTTTAACACGCTGACTAGGATATGATAGTCGTTTGAGATTCTAGTATCAGATTTTATCATATCTCAGTAAACAAGTTAACGTCCAACTCAGACATTGTTATTTTTTTTAATGAAAATGACCATTTTGGAATAAATTAATAGTTAGGTGACTATTTTATAACTTTTAATAGTCAGAGGACTCAACAAAATAATACTCTATAATCAGAGGACCGTTTTGTAACTTTTGATAATTGAGAGATAAAAAGCAATTCCATATAGTTAGGGGATCATTTGTGTACTTTAGCCTTTATCATTATACTAATTTTTATTAATGTTACGGAAGACATAAATTTGTTATCTTTTTAAGTCAGTGATCATTTTATAATATGTTATGGTCATGAGACTTAACGAAATATTATTCTATAGACAGAGGACTAACTTATGTATTTTAGCCTAAAATAGGACACAAGCCATCGTCTTCTATAATAATGCAAATTTTGAGCACACCATAGACCAGCATTCTCACAATGTCGAACAACAAGCTAGAAGGCAAAGTAGCCATCATCACCGGCGGAGAAAGCGGCATCGGCAAAGCCACCGCCTACCTTTTCGCCGATCACGGTGCTCAAGTCGTGATCGCTGGCATCAAGACGAACTTGGCCAACAGGTAGCCGCCTCAATCGGTTCCAAAAACTGCAGCTACATTCACTGTGACGTCGCCGATGAAGAGCAAGTGAAAGCGATGGTGGAATGGACCGTCCAGCATCACGGCCGACTCGACATCATGTTCAGCAACGCCGGGATGATCCGTGCCACCAAGGCCACCACCAACTCCAACCAGAACATCCTCGATATCGACTTCG